ATATTTTAATTTCTGCTATGGTTATAGTTCTGTCCCTTTTTTATTTCTAATATTTGTACCTTCCTTTTCCTTCATCAGCTTTGCCACAGGTTTCTCTACTTTATTAGCAAATTTAGGCTATGGAATTGCCCTATTGTATGTCTGTCTTCTATTTAATCAATTGCCACTCCTTACTTAGCTCCTTTCATTTTTTCCATATAGGATTAGTTTGTTGCTTTTTTAACTTCTTCATGGTGAACACTTAGTCTATTAATTTCTAGCGCTTTATTTTCTTTTCTAATATGAGATTTGAATGGTAGAAATTTGCATTAAAATACCATTTTTTGAAGAAAATTCCACAAATTATTTCACTATTCAATTCTAATTCTTCACATTCATCACATTTTATTTGTCCCATGAAGTTTTAGTGTTGTTGGTGTTTTTTTTTTTAATTAAAAATGTCTAGGGGTGCCTGGATGGCTCAGTAGGTTAAACATCTGCCTCTTGATCTCAGCTTAGGACTTGATCTCAGGGTTGTGAACTCAGGCCCCATGCTGGGATTCATGCTGGGCTTGGAGCCTACTTAAAAAAAATGTCTGCAGAGGGTTGGGTTTGGTTTTAGTTTTGGTATTGATTTCTAATATAGTTACACTTTTTTTGTTTGAGAGAGGCTGCATACAGACAGGGTGGGGCAGAGTGGGAGGGAGCAGCAGCAGAGACAGGAGAGAAAGGAAGAATCCCAAGTAGGTTTCGACCTATCAGTGTGGAGCCCTACGCAGGGCTTGATCTCCCAAACTGTGAGATCATAACCTGAGCCAAAATCAAGAATTGGATGTTTAACAATTAAACCACCAGGCACCCCAAATATAGTTTCATTGTGATACCTACAGAACATGGTTTGTATAAACTTGAATTTTTAAATTTATTGAGCTATACTTTAAGGATAATATATGGTTAATGTTTCATGTGTTCTTAAGAAAGCTAGGGCTTTTAACCTATTTTACATTTGTTCATTAAATCAAGTTTATTATTTGCATTGTTCAACTATTCTCTATTCTTATTTCCATTTTATTTGCTTCATCCATCAATGAAGATGACCAATAAGATGGCCGTATAATTAATGGTCCAAACAGAACATTTGAGAGTGAAAAAACATGTGAAAATTATGTTTATTAACAATAATTAAATATACATCAAAATAAAATAATTTATTGAAACATTGATAATTATTTCAATGTTAAGGGACATCTAAAACTTTTCTACTAAAAAACTATTTTATTTTAGTGGGGTTTTTTTAGGTTTATTTTATTTTGAGAGAGAAAGTGGGGAAGGGGTAGAGGGGGAGGGGGACAGAGGATCAGAAGCAGGCTCTGTGCTGAGAGTAGAGAGCCCAATGTGGGGCTCAAACTCACAAACTGTGAGATCATGACTCAGGCCAAAGTCAGACACTTAACTGACTAAGCTAGCCAGGTACCTCTTTTTCTTTTTTTTTTAGAGGGGGAGAGAGAGTGTGAGCGGGGGAGAGGGGCAGAGGGAGAGAGAGAGAATCTTAAGCAGACTCCATGTTCAGCATAGTGCCTATTTTAGGGCTTGATCCCACAAGCCTGGGATCATGACCTGAGCTGAAATCAAGAGTCCTATGCTCAACCTACTGAGCCACCCAGGCTATTATTTAGAAAAATAATATAAGCCAGGTAATTATACTAAATTATACATATTTATATATTTTAGTCCATTTCTAAGCCGATTTTGTCTCTAATGCCAAGTCATTGGTATTTTTCTAAAACCTATTTTTTAAATATTGTTTTATTATTTTTAATTTCATTCAAATAAAATTCCCTGCAACCTACTCTGTTGCATTTTATAGTTAATTGACTTGGAATTGTAGACCTCTTCATTTGATTTTTCTCTGTAGTTCGCATTTCAATGGAGAATATACTGTCTCTTTAGGTACCAAAGTACCTGGTAAATTCCAAAAAATATTGTTAAATGGAGGACACTTTCAAGGCCATTTTTTAAAATGTTTATTTATTTTTGGGGCGCCTGCGTGGCTTAGTCGGTTAAGCGTCCGACTTTCGCTTAGGTCATGATCTCGCGGTTCGTGGGTTCGAGCCCCGCGTCGGACTCTGTGCTGACTGCCAGCTCAGAGCCTGGAGCCTGTTTCAGTCTGTGACTCCCTCTCTCTCTGACCCTCCCCTGCTCACGCTGTCTCTCTCTCTCTTTCCTAGAAATAAATAAAACATTAAAAAAAAATTTTTTTTTAAATGTTTATTTTTTTAGAGAGAGACAGTGAGAGCCAGGGAGAGGCCGAGAGAGGGAGAGAGAGGGAGACAGAATCTGAAACAGGCTCCAGGCTCTAAGCTGTCAACACGGAGCCTGATGTGGGACTCAAACTCATGAATTGTGGGATCATGACCTGAGCTGAAGTCAGACACTTAACCGACTGAGCCATCCAGGCGCCCCTAAAGTCTATTTTTTTTTATACTAAAAAATATTGTAGTCCTAACATTTTCAAATATGTATTGTCTTTGCCTCCACTCACAGTACCTTTCTTCAACACATAATTTTTACAAGATAAAATTCATCAAATAAATTCTCCAGTTATAATTCTTTTTAATGTTTCACCATATTTTTATGGTACATAATCAGAGGTCATTTTGTTCCTTTTTTCCCCATTTCATTATTACTATTATTTTAATGTTTATTTAGTTTTGAGACAGAAAGAGTGTGAGTGGGGGAGGGGCAGAGAAAGCAGGATACACAGAATCTGAAACAGAGTCCAGGCTCGGCGCTGTCAGCAAAAGCCTGATGCGGGGCTCGAACTCACAATTGGTGAAATCATGACCTGAGCCGAAATCGGGTGCTTACCCAACTGAGCCACTGAGGTGCCCCTATTATTATTTTTTAAGTTAGCTCTACACCCAATGTGGGGCTTGAATTCATGACCCTGAAATCAAGAATGGTATGCTCTACCAACTGAGCCAGCCAGGTGCCCCCTCCATTTCATTCTTTTCTAATGCAGAATTCACATTTAACTAATTAAAAATAGGAGATTCATCATAAGTTAAAAAACTGTAAAGCAAAGTTACAGAATTTCAAAATTAAATCTCTTATCCTATTTGAGGATAAATATTTATTGTTTAGTTTCCTTGTTTAAAAGCCAGATTTCAATGTCTTCCTATATGCAAGGTTTGTTTTCAATCATGATTTGCTAAAAGCTTCAAAATGAATGTTCTTTGGCACACCATTCATTAAATAAACTCATTAAATATTTTCAACTTAAACAACAGAAATTAGAACTTTTAAGGACCCATTTACAAAAAAAAAATGTTCACATTCAGGACAATACAGGTTGACTTAACAAAGCAGTTCTTTAACACTTCAAACATTTCTAATATATGCTCAAGAGTGGACAACAAAGAGAGTCCAGGCTGTCATTCTTGGGGTTTTTTTGGTTTTTGTTTTTATTTATTTTTTTAAATTAATTTATTTAAAATTTCTTTATTTTTTTATTTATTAAAAAATTTTTTAATGTTTTACTTCTGATAGAGAGAGACAGCATGAGCAAGGGAGGGTCAGAGAGAGGGGGAGATACAGAATCTGAAACAGGCTCCAGACTCTGAGCTAGCTGTCAGCACAGAGCCTGATGCGGGGCTTGAACCCATGAACCCTGAGATCATGACCTGAGCCAAAGTCGGAGGCTTAACCGACTGAGCCACCCAGGGGCCCCTATTTAAATTTTTTTTTAACATTTATTTATCTTTGAGAGACAGAGTGTGAGGGAACACAGTATCTGAAGCAGGCTTCAGGCTCTGAGCTGTCAGCACAGAACCCGATTCAGAGCTCGAACCCATGACCTGATGAGATCATGACCTGAGTCGAAGTTGGACGCTTAACCAACTGTGCCACCCAGGTGTCCCAATGCTTTTTTTTTTTTAATTATTATTTAACATCAGCCGCTCATGTTTTTTCTTTTGGTTATAATGTGTATACATGTTTAAAAATTGGTAAATTTTGTCAAAACTACAATGAGGTACCACTTTATACACATTAGAACGGCTATTAAAAAAAAAAAATGAGAGGGGTGCCTGGGTGGCTCGGTTTACCAGCCGACTTCGGCTCAGGTCATGATCTCATGGCTCATGAGTTCATCCCATGGCTCATGAGTTCGAGCCCCATGTCCAGTTCTGTGCTGACAGCTCAGAGCCTGGAGCCTGCTTTGGCTCCTCCTGGAGCCTGCTCTCTCTCTGCTCCTCCCCCACTCGTGCTCTCTCTCAAAAATAAATGAACATTTAAAAAAATTTAAAAACTAGAAACAAATGTTGATGAGGATATAGAGAAATCAGAACCCTTGTACATTGCTGGTAGGAATGTAAAATGGTGCAGTTTCTGTGGAAAACAGTATGGCAGATCCTTAAACACAGAATGGCTGTATTATCAGCAATTCCACTTCTGGATATATACACAAAAGAATTGAAAGCAGGGTATCAAACATATTTGTATACTAAGATTGACAGCAACAGTATTCACAATAGCCCAAAAGTAGAAATAATCTAAATGTCTGTTGAGGGATGAATGGATAAATAAAATGTATATACATACAATGGAAAATAATTTAGCTTAAAAAGGAATGAAATTCTGGTACATGCTACAACATGGATGGACCTTGAGGACTTTATGCTAAGTGAAATCAGGTAGACATAAAAGGGTAAATACTGTATGACTCCACAAATTTATTAGACACAGAAAGCAGTACAGTGATTACCAGGGGCAAGAGGCAGGGAGCAGTGAGAGTTATTATTTAACGGGTACAGAGTTTCAGTAGGAAATGATGACAGAATTCTGGAGATGGGTAGTGGTGATGATTGCATAAAACTCTGAGTATACTTATTGTCATTGAACTGTACACTTTAAAAAATGGTTAAAATTGTAAGTTTTTCTGTTACATTTTTATCACAATAAAAAAGGTTTTTAAAAATTTGATAAATTTTAACAACTATAATATCTATTTTGACTGACAGCTTGGATACAATTCTATATATATCACAACCAAGTTCCAAGTACACTGTGCTCCACCGGTAATTATATGAACATTATTTTATCACAATATATAATCATGCAGATTTATATAATACTGTTATAAAACTGGCATCTGGGAACTGTTTTCAAAGTTTTCTGCTAATAGAGCTAGTATATGAATAGCTGTCACTCCACTTTTTATATGGGTACAAGAAAACTTGGAACTGAAAATGAGCAAAATTAATAAAAGAACTCTGTTCTAAATTAAAACTCAGGGTCCCTGGATGTCTCAGTCAGTAGAGCATGCAACCCTTGATCTCAGCGCTGTAAGTTGAAGCCTCATACTGGGCATGGAGCCTACTTAAAAAAAAAATTAATGAAAACTAAATTTTCACAGAATAAGGTGTAAATGTACCTTCTGCAACTGTACATCTTTATTTTCTGGAACACTCCTCTTAAAATAACTGGTAATTTTGGAGTAGATGATGTTCCTTCTTTAGAAAGTTTGTCTCCCAGTTTCTGACATGGTCCACGTTATCACTCTGGCCCCATGGTAGATGGTAACATAAATAAGCATTATATGCTGGTTACTAGCTTATTGACAATCTACTTGAGAAACAAAAATATTTGGTTTTTTAATTAAACATGCACTTTTTAATTAATTTTTTTTAATAAAAAAAATTTTTAAAGGAGCACCTAGGTGGCTCAGTTGGTTAAGTGTCGACCTTGGCTGGGGTCATGATCTCACAATTTATGGGTTTGAGCCCCGTGTTGGGCTCTGCGCGGACAGCTCAGAGCCAGGAGACTGCTTCAGATTCTGTGTCTCCCTCTCTGCCCCTGCCCCACTCGTGCTGTCTCTCAAAAATTAATAAATGTTAAAAAAAAAATTTTAAACATGTACTTTCATTTTATTAAAATTCTTGTTACCCCAGTAGTTCATTCCAGAATCCTTACAACACACTTCTCACTGGGATCCTTGGTCTATGGATGGATCTGACTGTGATGCAACTGTAGCTCTTAGAAGTCCCAGGAAGTCAAAGGTCTCAGGTTTAGGTCTCAGGCAGTACTTTAAGCAGAGGTCGTAGTTTTAACCCTTTACTGCACAAGGCCTTTGAGTTGGCCAAGGAACATTCCTGGGATGAGCACAATTCAGGGCAGCCCATGGCTTCAAGGCAGGTTTCTGCTTCTGCTTTTGGCCTTGATGGTTTCCTCTTTCTTATTAAAAGTTAAGCTTAAAAAAAAAAAAAAAAAAGGTGTTTCTTCTCTGTGCAATGGGCATGATGGTGATGTCCATTCTATAGAGCTCATGTATATAAAGCACTTAGAATACTACCTGACAAATAATTAGCATAACAGGGCTAGATGGTTTTTTTTTTTTTTTTTAATGTTTTATTTATTTCTGAGAGAGAGAGAGAGAGCGTGAGCAGGGTAGGGTCAGAGAGAGAGGGAGATACAGAATCTTAAGACAGGGAGATACAGAATCTTAAGACAGGCTCCAGGCTCTAAGCTGTCAGTACAGAGCCTGACACCGGGCTCGAACCCACGAACCGTGAGATCATGGCCTGAGCTGAAGTTGGACGCTTTACCGACTGAGCCACCCAGGCGCCCCTAGATGGTATTCTTTTAACAGTGATTTCTATGTATTTATTGTAGGAAGGTTTTTCAAATTTTGGAGTCTAGTACATTTTTGGGTATGGAGCATGTTTATACATTTCACTGTAACTATCAGAAATAATTTTTATTTTAAATGTTTGTTTGGGTCAGCAGTTTACCACTGCACTGTATTTATGTAACTGAACCTCCCTGAAGCCACATAAAGAACATTTATATATCTTAGAAAAATGTGGTGTACGTTTATAAATATATAAAATTTTGTGTAAGCTCTGATTCAGCAGTTTTAAGTGTAAAACCAGCAAAGGGATCTGGGTCACCAGTCTTTCCTTACTATAAAAAAATTTTTTTAAATAGCACAAAATTGCTTAATTTTAAATGTCATGAGAAATTTCATTTTTATTGGTTAAAAACATTGTTTAATACATATATACATGAATGTACATTAAAATATTTGGATAGTTAAAATATATTTTGTGTGTGTGACCTCATATGATTGATACAAAAGTTTGTAAGTTCAAAGCACTATATACTTGCTACTAATTACCAAGATTTTGATCTTGCTGTACTTTGTATTAGAATTTCTGGGACACTTCCCACGTAAACCTATTAAGATTCTAGAAAAATAAAAGATGACAACAGTACACTAAATAAAAGCAATTTGGCAAGCAAACCAAAAATTTAAATTACAAAGTTTTCTCTTAAAAAATTCTTAAAATTCTTTCAAAAAGCATATTGAGCCATATTTTAAATACATATATTAAACGTATAAAACATTTTTTTCTCCTTTTACTCTTCCCCACCCAAATCCTAGTGAAATGGATGGTGTGTGTGTGTGGTACAAGGTGCTCTGAACACAAGCTATGCAGGTTTGATTTGCCACATTTCCTCTGAGCAAAGCAATGTGGATAGAAACATGTAGACAGATGCATTTATATGCAACTTTGTGGAGCTTCCTATATATGAATATATTCTTTGTATAATTCTCAAATAACTTTTCCTGGCCAAAAAAATGAATCATGCTCATTATAGAAAGTTAGTAGGTAAAAGAAAGTATGGAAAAGAAAATAAAGATACTGTAATCCTACCACATAGAGGTAACTACTGGCAATAATCTGGTGTGTTTATATCCTGTCTTTTTTCCTAAGCATACAAAAATATAAACATACATATAAAAATATGATTATATTATTTATGGAATTTGGCATCCTGCTTTTTCACTGGATAAAATGGTGTTAAATCACCTACCATTCCCTTTATATGTTCTTCAAAAGAATTTATTATATTAATGGCCAATAAAAACTTTCATTGAATGGATATACCATAATGTAAAATAAAAAATGGTATTTCTAACTTTATAGCTTTTAAAGTTTTATTTTATTTTATTTTAATGTTTTTTATTTATTTCTGAGAGAGAGAGAGACACCATGAGCAGGGTAGGGTCAGAGAGAAAGGGAGACACAGAATCCGAAACAGGCTCCAGGCTCCGAGCTAGGTGTCAGCACAGAGCCCTATGCGGGGCTCAAACCCACGAACCGTGAAATCATGACCTGAGCCAAAGTCGGCCTCTTAACTAACTGAGCCACCCAGGAGTCCCAGTTTTATTTTACATAAATAAAGTTTTGGGGCGCCTGAGTGGCTCAGTTGGTTAAGCATCCGACTTCGGCTCAGGTCATGATCTCACAGTTCGTGGGTTTGAGCCCCGCGTCAGGCTCTTGTGCTGAATGCTTGCTTAGAGCCTGGAGCCTGTTTCAGATTCTATGTCTCCTCTCTCTGCCTCTCCCCCACTCACACTCTGTCTTACTCTGTCTCTCAAAAATAAATAAATGTAAAAAAAAAAAAATTAAAGTTTTATTTCACATAAAACTTTAAAAGCTATAGAATTATAAATATATATATATATCATATTTTTAACAACTGATGCCTCCCAGCATTCAGTTCAACTAGTACATGGTCTCTTTATGTTTTCATAACTCCTCAAAGGTTGGGAAAAGCCAACAAGTGAGACATTGTACAAGGATACCACACTCTGAACATTTCAGGTCATGTTCCAAGTGTCCATTTGAAAGTTGTAAGAGTCTATACCATCACACATGGATAACTGAAGGTCTGCTTGTAAAGTCCACATGCTGAACTCCTACAAGTTGTAAAACAGAGTTGATGGGTTTGTGATCCAACCTATTTCTATCACGGTGTATAAAATGGATGTTGTTACCTAGAAGAGAATAAGAATAAAAGGTAGGGGTTGGCATATAGTATTATTCATTAGACTCATTGCTTATTAGAATAAAGGAAGCAAAAGCAACTTTTAATTAACCCTAAGGGAAAAATTAATTGCCTGGAGTTCATAATATTCTCTATATAATGCCATAATAATTTTTAATTAAGGTAATAAAATGACAAGGATTATGGTTAAATAAGAGTGATACTTAATGTTTTATGAGATCCAAGGGGAAAGATTCTTAAATTATAACCTCTGTTATGTTTTATTAGATGTAATTAAATAAAATGTCCTATCAAACAGACAGGAACAACAAGAACTAATATAGATATCAAGCTGGAAAATCAGATCTGTTTCTTAAATGTAATAATGGAATAAATCACTTGCTTAAAAAAATAATTCACTCCCAAACACTGATTCAACAGGCTATCTGCATTATAACCAGAGACCAAAAGAGGCTGAAAAGCAGGGCTTTGAGACAGTTAAGACTTCCACAATCCTTTTATCTGCTCAAATAAACCCGTAATTTATAAGAAGGACAAATACCATATGTTTGCACGTATAGGAGGATTAGGAGGAACTTAATGGAGGATCAAGGGGGAGAAGAAGGGGGGAAATAGTGGGGGAGAGGGAGAGAGGCAAACCATGAAAGACTCTTTAATTTTTTTTTTTTAATATTTTTATTTATTTCTAGGAGAGAGAGACAGCGTGAGCAGGGGAGGGTCAGAGAGAGAGGGAGATACAGGCTCTGAAACAGGCTCCAGGCTCTGAGCTGGCAGCCAGCACAGAGCCCAACGCGGGGCTCGAACCATGAACCAGATCATGACCTAAGCGAAAGTCGGACGCTTAACCGACTAAGCCACCCAGGCGCCCCAAACCATGAAAGACTCTTGAAATCTGAGAACAAACTGAGGACTGATGGGTGGGGGGGGGCGGGGGGGAGAGGGGAGATGGGCATGGAGGAGGACACTTGTGGGGATGAGCACTGGGTGTTACACGGAAACCAACTTGACAATAAACTATTTGTAAAAAAAAAAACAAAAAAACCCCGTAATTTATAGGTCTAGGGTCTTTTTACATTGATTCTTAGACTCAAAGCCAGAATTTCAACTTAAAACATTATATTAACTTTATATCCACCTAGCTGAAATTCTGTAATTCTTTGTGTTTTTTCTTTTCAATTTTTTATTTAAATTCTAGTTATTTAACATATAGTACAATATTGGTTTCAGGAGTAGAATTCAGTGATTCATTACTTATACACAACACCCAGTGCTCATCACAAGTGCCCATCTCAAAGCTCATCACCCATCTAGCCCATCCCCCCCAGCTTCCTTCATCACTTCATCAACTTTCATGATTTAATTAAAAATTTAAAAATTTTTTTTAATTATTTATTTCTGAGAGAGAGAGATAGCTTGAACAGGGGACTGTCAGAGAGAGAGGGAGACACAGAATCCGAAACAGGCTCCAGGCTCTGAGCTAGCTGTCAGCACAGAGCCCGTCGAGGGCTCGAACCCATGAACTGTGAAATCATGACCTGAGCTGAAGTCGGACGGTTAACCAGCTCAGCCACCCAGGTGCCCCCACGATTAATTAATTATAAGAGGCATGTTCTCTGCATTATACTTGACTGTTGTCTACGGTATCACTGTCGATTTAATATCATGAGTTGGCTTATTATCAAGTAAGGCAAAATGAAATACTGAGTTAACTAGTAGATTTGTATAAATAAGTATACCCAGCTCTTTCACTAGAGGAGCTACATTTCTTCCAGCAGAGAGTATCAAAATATTCTCCTTAGTGAGTATGTTCCAGTGATGAACTCCATGTGCTCATCACTCTTACACACCTGAACATGTGGTCATTATGCTGCGACACTGGAGATTAGGAGCTCAAAACAGGTCAGAGAATAGAAACAAACTATCCAAAACTACCGCTCAATGTCATTCAGGGATAGTCTATAGGACTCATTCTCATAAAACAAGGCTTCTCTTCTGTCTGGTCTAACTGGTGTAAATTCACAAGAGAGGGAATGAGATTGAATGACAGGTTTTAGCTAGCTAAAGTGCTCCAACTGCAGACAGCCAAAAAGCCATAATGTTCAGTCAAAAGCCTCCTTCTAAAGACTTTTAGACATCTGAAGTTTATTACAGTAAATGTTAATTTTATAACTCTTAGGAGCTATGCTCACTATTGTGGACAATTTTAAAGAGGAAGAAGAACCAAGAAAAATCTATTCAGTGCCTGTCCTGACTACAATACTTGAACATGGGAGAGAGCCAACGGTCAACCATTTAGCAGTGTGGAGCCAAAGAAATTTCTGGTGGTCCAAACTGAGCAATAAAGCTATTAAAACTATGTGGCTTACAGTAATTGTTACTAAATGAGCTGACTTGCCTTCTGACACTAAGCAAGTTTTCTAGCCTTGTAAGATATAAGTAACTGGATTGATTCTTCCATTGACCAAAAAAAAGGGGGGGGGGGCTTAATGATTTTATTTTCTTATTTTGCTCTTATGTGTAAGGAAATGAACTTCCATGAACTTATTTTATTTATTTTTATTTATTTTTTAAGAGAGAGAGAGCAAGCATGCACAAGCTGGGAAAGGGGCTGGTGAGGGGGAGAGAAAGAGAGAGAGAGAGAGAGAGAAAGAGAGAGAGAGAATCTTAAGCAGGCTCCACACTCAGCAAGGAGCCCAATGTAGGGCTCAATCCCACAATCCTAGGACTACAACCTGAGCCAATGTCAAGAGTTCAACGTTCAGGGGTGCCTGGGTGGCTCAGCTGGTTAAGCGTCTGACTTCAGCTCAGATCATGATCTCATGGTTCGTGGTCTGAGCCCTGCATCGGGCTCTGTGCTGAAGCTAGTTTAGAGCCTGGAGCCTGTTTCAGATTCTGTATCTCCCTCTCTCTCTGACCCTCTCCTGCTCATGCTCTCTCTCAGAAATAAATAAAACATTTTAAAGAAATTAAAAAAAAAAAAAGAGTCAGACGTTCAACTGTCTGGACCACCCAAGTGCCCTTCCCTGAACTTTTTAAATAGTTTTATAGCCATATACAGTTCACCAAACCACCACTGACTTTCCTATCTCAAATACCTGAAATCACTCAGGCACAGAATGATGGGCACATTACATCCAATAAACAGATACAAAATACACAGAAGCCTTTAAAAACAAAAGATGCCCCCTGCCCCCTACAAGCACAGAATGGTGCCTATTACAATGTCAAATTGCCATTTTTACATGGTATCTATTTTATGAAGAAACTGGGTAGCCTCTTAACTTCTAAAAGGCACAAAAAGCATACTGCTGGATCTGTGGATCTGCACTTTGATGCTTACCTGGACCTAAGATGAGGGTTCCTCCTTGCTGAGCAGGGTCTCCTTGAAAATCAAAAAGAGGGCCAGTCACTGCTCTCCACAGGCTCCGAATGCTTCCTGAGAGGATATTTGATTTTACATGGGGGCTCTTTCCTGAAATATTAGGAATTATCTTTAGATATTATCATTTTATATTCAGTTAGATATCAGAATATAATGTTGCTACTTCTGTAAAACATTCACTCTCTCTCTTTTTGAAGTATAGTTAACTCAGAATGTACATTAGTTTGGGGTATATAACAGCAATTCCACAGCTCTGTAGTCGGGCTGTGCTCACTGCAAGTGTAGCTGTTATTGGATGATGATATATTGTCAATATTCCCTATGTTGTAGCTTTCATTTCCATGGCTTCTTAATTCTATAGCTGGAAGCCTGTACCTTCCAGTCCCCTTCACCCATTTTTGCCCATTATATGCTGGTTAAAACCCATTTCCTCTTTCTGGGCCCACAGCTGAACTTCCTGGCAGTTTCATATGGCCATGTGACCATGTTCTAACCCCTAGGTAAAATTATTTGGGCCATTTCCAGGCAAGCTCCTTAAAACCTCCCACAAGTGATTCTCCATGTTCCCTCTACATTCTTGGAAGCCTTGGGTTGAAAATGACAGAGCCACAAGATAGAAGGGGCCTGGGTCCTTCCTACTGTGTTCCTGCTGGTATTGCTGCTTGGAGGAGAGGCATCTGAATAGATACACCCATCTTGAAATTAACAGAAAAAGAACTAACCTTCTACTGTATTTTGCTACTGAGACTTTGAGAGTTCTCTATAACAATAGGAAAGCCACCTCTCCATCTCTCCTTGGCTGTCAGTTTTTCAGTCTTTCCCACCGTGACTAATACTTTCATTTCCACTGAATAAAGGGACTCAGTCTTTTTACCCTTCTTGTAACTTCTTGTAACTTATCTTTCTCCTATCCCTGCCTTTTATGTTTTACTTTTGGTTTTTTATTTATGCTGCCTTTGACCTGCCTGAATTCCTAGTATTTCCAAATACCTATTAATTCCCTTCATCTCTCTGACTCTTCTATTTGCTTTGTGTTTCCATGATGATGGGCATTCATGTTTCCAAAAATCAAATACAGGCTCATTAGCATAGAGACATAAGTAAAAGACTAAAGTTTACTATTTAGGATTCTCTATCTAAAATAAATATTCAGAAATCCAAACTATTTCTTCATGTCCAAAGAAGCAGTCATTTAATATTTCTGAAATTTTAGAAACTGAATTCAAAGGAGATTCCATGACCTAGAATTCAACAGTCTTTGCTTCAAATACAATCTAATTTTGCCCATTTGAATTTAGTTCTTATGTATAAAATTCCTTTTTTTCACTCTTCTACAAACCCATTTTTCCCTGGCATGTAAAGATTTTATTTTCTTATTTTGTCTTTATAAAATGCTCATTAATTTAAAATTATAATTTTATTTTTTAGTGTCTTAATTTCCAAGTAGGACTATTCTGAGATTTATGCTTTTTCAGAGAGGAACTTTTAAAAGATGATTTTATGAGAAAATAATACTTTCTGGTTGGAAATATAGCACTTTAACACAGGTCAGAGACTTTAAAAGATTTAAATATACCTTCTCTAATAATTATAAGCATATATTTTGTCTCAAATTCATCTGTTTTCTTTGCAATTCTGTATTTTTATTGTGCCTGCGATGGTGAGGTGTTACTAAGATGAACCTCACAGTTTAGATCTAAGGTGCTAAATGATAAACAGAATTTATACACACTGGGACTATCATAAGGCTCTCAATCTATACACTGTAATTTCCTATACGAAGGAGAAAAAGAGCAAACTTTTTACGATAGTTCATTATTAGTTTTAATAAAATTTAGGTTGCTTTCTTTAAAAACATCAGTAAAGTGATCATGTCAACTAATGTCATAAATAGCTCCCAACCTATCCCTTCCTCTCCATCTCCACTTTCTGCCCTGACACTTCTTTCTAGTCTATTACTACAACCTACTATAACTGGATCGGCAGTTCTAATTACTCCTCCACACTGGACACTTGACAATCACTTCTCTACCTAAAATGCTTGTATGACATCCCCACAGAACAAATCCAAATTCCTTGGCAGGTCACTCCAGACTCGGTCCGAATTGGCCACCACCTGTCCCCTGGCTCACACCATTCCCCAACTGGCTCCAAGACTTTGGCCTGACGCAGGGACCTGCACATCTTCAAGAGTAACAGTTTTTCACGCCCATGTGCCTTTACATGTGCTACTTTCTGTCAGCAGCACCCTTCACCAGATTCATTTCACCAAGCTAACTCCTTTAAGAGTGGGCTTATGGGGTGCCTGGGTGGCTCAGTTGGTTAAGTGCCCTACTTCGACTCAGGTCATGATCTTGCGGTTCACAAGTTCGACCCCGCATCTGGCTCTGTGCTGATAGCTCAAAGCCTGGAGCCTGCTTTGGATTTTGCATCTCCCTCTCTCTGCCCCTGCCCCACTTGTACTTTGTCTCTCTTTCTCTCTCAAAAAGAAATAAGTATTGAGGCATCTGGGTGACTCAGTCGGTTGAGCGTCCGACTTTGGCTCAAGTCATCTCACAGTTCGTGGGTTCAAGCCCTGTGTTGGGCTCTGTGCTGACAGCTCAGAGCCTAGAGCCTGCTTCGGATTCTGGGTCTCCATCTCTTGGCCACTCCCCCGCCTTGCACTGTCTCTCTCTCCCTTTCACTCCCTCTCTCAAAAATAAATAAATATTTTAAAAATTTTTTTAAAAAAAGAGTGGGCTTAGGTGACACCTCCTCTGAGAAGCCTTTCCAGATTCTTCTCTCCCCTCATATTTCTGGCAACGGTATTCGCCTTATATGTTCTCTATGACAAGCCCTTAAATTGTAATCAGCTGTTTGCTTCTGATTCCTAGAGTAGAGTATGAGTTTCAGGATGGTAGAGGCTGGTTATCACTGTTCTCCTGGGAGCATCCAACAAAGTGGGGATTATTGACAACAGCTCAACAATACTTTTTGAGAATGATATGAATTCGAGTTCTCTCATTTGTTTTTTTTTAATTTTTAAGTTTTTAAAAATGTTTTATTTATTTCTGAGAGAGGGACACACACACAGCGTGAGCAGGGGAGGGTCAGATAGAGGGAGATACAGAATCCGAAGCAGGCTCCAGGTTCTAAGTTAGCTGTCAGCACAGAGCCCGATGCGGGGCTCGAACCCACGAACCGTGAGATCATGACCTGAGCCACCCAGGCGCCCCTTTTTTTAATTTTTAAAGATGTTTTTTATTTATTTTTGAGAGAGAAAGGCAGAGAGCGAGCAGGGGAAGGGCTGAGAGAGAGGAAGACACAGAATCCAAAGCAGGCTTCAGGCTCTGTTAGCACAGAGCCCAACGTGGGACAAAATCAACGAACCACAAAATCATGACCTGAGCCAGTCAGACGCTTAACTGACTGAGCCTTCCAGGCACCCCATCTCATCTGGCATTTTAGAAGCTGCATTCTTTCTACCTAAAACATACAGAAACAGTTCACCTAAAGCTGATAAATCTGTTAATTATAAAGAATTGTGCTAAGGGCAAGGAATGTGGACCACATAACAATGAATAAAACTTCAAATTCTTCAAATAACCATAGTGTCTGCATACCTTAAACACTATTAGAGTATATAATAAAGTACAAGATGCTATTAAAGTACAATGAGGGAAGCAGCAACTTGAAGGGCCCCTTTAGTTGGGCTTCAAATGAAAACTAAGATATCATTACTTAAAGAACATAGAGTATTCAAAGCTATGGAAAATATATGAACTGAAGCAATATTATTTCATCACTGAATTACAAAAGTAAAATGTACTCACTGTTAGGGGTGCCTGGGTGGCTCAGTCAGTTAAGCATCTAACTCCTGATCTCAGATCAGGTTATGATCTCACTGTCATGAAATCAAGCCCCACATTAGGCTCTGCCCTGATGGCACAGAGCCTGCTTGGGATTCTCTCTCTCTGCCCCTCCTCTCCTCACGCACACATGCTATCTCTCTCTCAAAATAAATAAACATTAAAAAAATGTACTCCCATTGCTTTTAAAAAAAATTTTTATTTTAATGTTTTTTATTTCTGAAAGAGAGAGACAGCATGAGCAGGGGAGGTTCAGAGAGAGAGAGGGAGATACAGAATCTGAAACAGGCTCTAGGCTCTGAGCTAGCCGTCAGCACAGAGCCCAACGCGGGGCTTGAACCCACAAATCATGTCATCATGACCTGAGCCGAAGTCAGACGCATAACCGACTAAGCCACCCAGGCGCCCCTGTACTCCCTTTGTTAAAAGTACAAAAGCCACTTTTCTAACTTCTATACCTTGGGGTAAGTGTGGCAGTATCTTTTAAAAACCTCTTTCATTACACACACACATACACACACACACACACACAAACTTTTCTAACTTCTATACCTTGGGGTAAGTGTGGCAGTATCTTTTAAAAACCTCTTTCATTACACACACACACACACACACACACACACACACACACTCTTGACCTTTATGAAAATGGTTTTTATTTCCACAAAAACAGAATCATACCAAATACAGTGTTCTGTAACTTGCTTTCTTCATTCCCTTAGTACTTCACAGCTTTCTATGTCATTACACCCAGGAAATGAGCCCTTGAGAGTCTGGTGTATCTGACCCACTTATTAGTATCATAAAAAGGAGCCTGATTTAGGGGGTTACCATTCGTTCTCTACGCATAAATAAACAAATGTAAAATGCACCACCAGCATTTTCTGATGAGACCTGTCATGTCTTACCTGAAGGGGCAATTTCTTCACCTCTTTTCATTCCCAATTTTTTATAAATTTCTCTCTCAGGATCAACATAGATTTCATGAGAATACCCAGTCAGTTTGCAGAAAGGCTAAAAAAAGATAATATTTGGAATCTGTATTAGTAAAAATGAGAGAGAAAAGTAATGATAACCTATCTTTATTTTAGTTAAATTTAATCTACACTTAGTTGTTCAAATAAAGTAATTTTTATGTCTGAAACTGATTTAATCTGTTGGTTTTGCAATTTCTAATGATATATTTACCTCAATATGATGGTAGGATGACTGTCCAATCACTATAAGGGTGATATTTGCTTCCTTTAGTAGAAAAAAAAAAGCACATGTACATATTACCAGGAATCATGTTTATAAAACTTCCCCTTATCCAACTCTTTTGTTCCATTCTAATGCCACCTACAGGCTTATCGAAGAATGGAATAAACAGCAAAATTGTGTGACTCAAAATAAAGAAATGTATGCTAAAATGTTCAGTTAATTCATTTGGCCTTTTGCTAAGAAAGAACTTCAGAATAATATACCCAGTAATTCTCTGTTCTCCCCAAAGGCATATATTCAAAAATAATAAAAATTATTGAAGGAGGGTTTTTTTAATCAGTTTTATTTTTTCACATCCCAATTACTGACACCTGAAGGAAACTGATCTTAGTTTTATACAGGTTGCCCAATTCCTTCAATCAAAAACTCATCTGGGGACAAACGTATATGTACCTGAAAAAAAGCATATATGTAGTTGCCACAGGAATGTGGGAGGCGCGTCCTAACAAATACAGATTTCCATCTTTAAGATATATTATTTTCCTATAATCAACAACTAGTTGGAGTGCTCTTATTACAAAAATAACGGGGATAAAATAGCAATAATTTCTTGCATTTGTGCTTTTGGTTGTTATCATTCAACATTTGCAAAAAAAAGTTAGTAACTAACATCAAAATTATTATGGCTAGTACTTAGCAGGCAGTACATAGAAAAGTAAAGCTGAACAGAAATAGATCTCTCACGTCTCTCTCCTTTTTGAAGGTGTTGGAGAAATGTGCGGGAAGGTGATAATATGGTTTTACAAGAGTCTGTTCTGGAGATGTGTCATATTCTGCACTTCACCCTACCTCGCTTCTTAATAAATGACAGGTGACTTTCATAAGGTCGCCCGGAGGCAGAGCACGCTGCTGCACACTCTCAGGAAACTTACTTGTAAGAAACTCTTGGGGATTTTGGCCAGATCTTCTACGTATTCTTTGCAGATGTAACACAGGAAATGCTGGAATCCCAACAAGGCAAAAAGGGCGTGTTAGCAACTATAAAAGACCAAGTACTTCGTAACTGCGACGCCATTCAAGGTGGGTAAAAAAAGGTGTGAAGGGCGCCCGAGGTGCTTTAAAATTGGGCCGCACGCACTCTCTCAAGCCTCATTTGCTGGGAAAATGGACTTGGCTAGGCAGCTGTTTTTCCATTCCTATTAAAGGAAGCGAGAAGGGCAGTTCGTATTCCGGAAGCCTCTACAGCAATGGGAAGGGCCAGGCCCAGCGGGATCAAACTCCTGGGCCTTGGATCTTCAGAGGGGCCCGATGTCCCCCAGCCGAGGCTGCAGAAACAACCTCCATCCCAGCCTGCCGCAAGGTCCCCTGCTCTGGGCCGCCCCTCTGCCTGCGCTCACCCTCACGAAGACCACGACAGCCCGGCGCTCCCGAAACAGCGCGCCGAACGGCACCTGCCTCCCGTTGGCGTCCAGCACAGGCAGCTCCGCCACTGTTGCGGCCAAGGGCTGCCCGCGCTCCGGGCCCCTCTGGACTGCGGCCGGGGCGGCGCGGCCGCTGACCTGCCGCGTGACCGGGGCGAGGGCGAGTTCTGCCATCGCGCCCAGCATCTGTCCGGCCGGCCGGGTTCGCGGCCACGGGGCTCAGGCTGATCGCACAGGCTGGGCCAGCCGCGTCTCGGCCGATCTGGGGTGGCCCCCGCGGAGCAGTCCGGGAGTGGCACGCGGCGCAGGGCAAGGCAGGACGTAGGGCGGAGCGGGGCGGGACGCACGGGGCGGAGCTGCGTGGGGTCCCGGCCGGCTAGGGCGACCCTCGTCGTAGTGGGGCGGGGCGCAACCTGGGCGGGGCGCAACCCAGGGGGGCGGAGCTGGATGCTGGGCGGGGCCGGACGGAGTGCTGGGGGGACCGCAGGGCGGAGCACAAGGGGGTGGAGCCGCGTGGGGTTCGGTCCGGCGTGGACGTTCGGTGGCGGCAGGCTGGGTACTGGCAGACTGGAGCGTACGGGGGCGGGGTGCAGCGCACGCCGCAGCTCAGAGGTGAGGCTCAGCTGGCCATAAACCGTAAAACCATGACCTGAGCTGAACTCAAAAGTTGGGCGCTCAACTGACTGAGTCACCCAGGTGCCCAGGACCTAACTTCTAAACAAAGGGAACTGAGGGGCGCCTGGGTGGCTCCGTCAGTTAAGCCTCCGACTTCGGCTCAGGTCATGATCTCACGGTTCGTGGGTTCAAGCCCTGCGTCGGGCTCTGTGCTGACTGCCAGGTCAGAGCCTGGAGCCTGTTTCAGATTCTGTGTCTGACTCCCCTGCTCACACGGTCTCTCTCTCTCAGGGAAAAAAAAAAATTTTTTTTTAAAAATCTAAACAAAGGGAACTGACAGGAATTTCTGTTGGCCTAAAGGTGCTGTGAGCCAAGTGCTTGGGAACCTCTAAAAGAGACGGTAAGCTCCTTGCCTTCTGCAGCACTGTACTGTCTTCACAGACTAGCATGCGGCCTGACACATAGTAGGCCTTGGTGAATATTGTTTGGGAAATGCATGAGAAATGTTTGGGAAATAGATGAGAAATGGTGGTGCCGGGACAGCTCAGCCGGCCAGTGTGCAGTGAGTGGGAGTGGGGAGCAGGGCAGTCAGAGTGCTTCACAGGACTGGTGTTTCCCACTGGTTGAAACAGGCAGGACAGAGCTCAGAGAACACGTCCCACTGCAGGCTGACCAGTCCACAGGAACCCATCCACCTAATACCCAGCCGGTTTTGTTTCTATTCAGATTATTCCAGAGATGGGCCTCATCTGTAGATGTTCAGATTTCCTTGGCTTAGTTTCTAACCACTGACTCTAACAAGAATTTTCACACTGATCTCCCAATAGCTGTCCAAACTCCCCAAAACTGCCTGACTGGACTCAGGTATATGTTAATAATTCATCAACTATTTTAGCCCTGCTGGAGAACCCTGACCTGCTACCTTCTGGTTATTTGGTGCACTGCACACTTTAGTATTTTTAAGCATTGTTACAATATGATTAAATAATTATTTCTTTTTTTTAATTAAAAAAATTTTTAATGTTTATTTTTGGGAGAGACAGAGAGCACTGGGGGAGGGGCAGAGAGAGAGGGAGACACAGAATCTGAAGTAGGCTCCAGGCTCTGAGCTGTCAGCCCAGTGCCTGACACGGGGGGCTCAAACTCCTGAACCATGAAATCATGACCTGAGCCAAAGTCAGATGCTTAGCCAACTGAGCCACCCAGGTGCCCCAATAATTATTTGTTTCTTTTCCATTTCTTAAGTAGACATAAACTCGCTAAAAACTAAGTCCATGTCTACTTTGTTCTATCTCCAAAATCTATCACAGAGCCTGATACGTAGAAAAGTACCTAAGAAATATTCATGAATGGATGAACTTCCTTTTGCTTGTCCTTAAGTCTTCCTCTTGCACTTGCTTCTTCCTCCACCTATCCTCCCCTCTCCCTAGTTTCTCTCTTCCTTCTCCCCAGCACACCTGGCTGAGTGCTGTGACTATACTTTGATCTGAAAATAGTGCATGCCTGGTTTATTCATCTCTGCTGCTGTCACTAATGCACCTTGGTTTTTCTGAAATAAGGAATGTAGCTCCCAAGAGGTTAATTCACCAAGAAGTAACGTAGGCAGAGGTGGCTGGCTGGCTCAGTTGGAGGAGCATGTGACTCATGATCTCGGGATTGTATGTCTGACATTGGGTGTGGAATTTACTAAAAAAAGAAAGAAAGGAAAAGGAAAGGGAAGGAAGAAAAAGAAAGGAAGGAAGGAAGGAAGGAAAAAAGTAACTTAGGCTTATGGGAGAAGTTGGTGCCAATATGTCCCATTGGTCTTTTGAAGAGGGCCTTTCCCAGAGAAAGATAAAAGTAAAGGGTTTTACTGTATAGTAAAAAGGGTTTTGTTGTATAGTAAAAAGCTATCTATAAAAGGCAACTTTTGTTTTTTTTCATTAGCTGTTAATTTTTAGTGTGAATAGTGCAGTATTAGCAGGGTAAATGAAATACATAGATAATGGAGGATTTTAGAAACCATGTAGACCCATGGAGGTCAGGAATCAGATTTTGTGATCCTTCACAAAATTCAAGCCTGGTTCCTTTCAGGCCTGGTCTGGTCCAGTGACCTCGTGTCCAGCCTTCATTCCAGCCGGTGCTAATGGTGCTTTCAGCCTGCCCCTTCCAACAGCTCTCTGTGAAGGCCTTCCTGTACATGGGGAGAAACATTCTTTCTGAGTCACTTCTCCAGATGAAGGTGGGAATCACTAGAGGAATGTATGATGTTGGTTTGTAAACCATAATAAAATGTCCTGCATTTATAAGGCATTATTATTTATACAAAAGAATTCTAGAGGGGTGCCTGGCTTGCTTAGTTGATAGAGCATGCAACTCTTGATTTTGGGGTTGTGAGTCTGAGCCCCACATTTGGGGTAAAGTTTACTTTTAAAAAGGGGGGGGAGGGGCGCCTGGGTAGCTCAGTCGGTTAAGTGCCCTACTTCAGCTCAGGTCATAATCTCACGGTCCACGGGTTCAAGCCCTGCGACAGGCTCTGTGCTGACAGTTCAGAGCCTGGAGCTTGCTTCAGATTCTGTGTCTCCCTCTCTCTCTGACCCTCCCCCACTCACTCTCTGTCTCTGTCTCTCAAAATAAAAAATAAAGACATAAAAAAATAAAAAATAAACTACTTTCAAAAAAAAAAAAAAGGCAGGGGGGAGCACTCCTGGGTGGCTCAGTCGGTTAAGCCTCTGACTTAGGCTCAGATCATGATCTCACAGTTAGTGAGTTCGATCAGGCTCTGTGCTGAGAGCTCAGAGCCTGGAGCCTGCTTCAGATTCTGTGTCTCCCTCTCTCTCTGACCCTCCCCCACTCACTCTCTGTCTCTGTCTCTCAAAATAAAAAATAAAGACATAAAAAAATAAAAAATAAACTACTTTCAAAAAAAAAAAAAAGGCAGGGGGGAGCACTCCTGGGTGGCTCAGTCGGTTAAGCCTCTGACTTAGGCTCAGATCATGATCTCACAGTTAGTGAGTTCGATCAGGCTCTGTGCTGAGAGCTCAGAGCCTGGAGCCTGCTTCAGATTCTGTGTCTCCCTCTCTCTCTTCTCCTCCCCTGCTTGTGCACTGGCTCTCTCTTCCTCTCCACCCCCCTCAATCTCAAGAATAAATAAACATTCAAAAAAAAAAAAAGAATTTCCAGAAAGCTTTATTTTTTTTTAATTTTTTTAATGTTTTATTTATTTCTAGGAGAGAGAGAGAGACAGACAGACAGCGTGAGCAAGAGAGGGTCAGAGAGAGAAGGAGTCACAGACTCTGAAACAGGCTCCAGGCTTTGAGCTGGGAGTAAGCACAGAGCCCGACGCGGGGCTCGAACCCACGAACCGCGAGATCATGACCCAAGCGAAAGTCGGACGCTTAACCGACCAAGCCACCCAGGCGCCCCAGAAAGCTTTAGATATCAGGAAAGAAGAAAGGAAAAAAACCGGAACAATAAATCTCGAAATAAAGAAAAATTGAAGGAAATTCTGTAAATACCTGACCAATACTCTTCAAAAGTGTCATAAAAGTCAAAAAGCAAGAAACTATCACAGATGATAGATAAGGAGTCATGACAACAAAGACAACATGGTATCTTCCATTGGATCCTGGAGCAGATAGAGGACATTAGTGGAAAAGCTGGGGAATTTTGGGGGCACCTGGGTGGTTCAGTCGGTTAAGCGTCCGACTGTGGCTCAGGTTCTCATGGTTCGTGGGTTCGAGCCTCGCATCAGGCTCTGTGCTGACAGGTAGCTCAGAGCCCAGAGCCTGCTTCAGATTCTGTGTCTCCTTCTCTCTCTGACCCTGCCCTGCTCATGCTCTTTCTCTCTCAGAAATAAATAAAACATTAAAAAACAATTTAAAAAAAAGAAAAATTGGGGAATTCCAAATAAAGTCTGTACTTCAGTGAGTTGTTTAGTTTTGACAAATGTATCATAGTCGTATAAGACGTTAACAGAGGTGAGTAAAGGATAAATAGGAACTCTGTACTGTTTTGCAGTTTATCTGTATATCTAAAATTACATCAAAGCAAAAGTTTGTTTTTTTTTTAAATGTTCTAGTGTCCAAGTGACCAGGAAAGAAGTATGCGTACAGCCAAAATGATCACCACAGATTATGTTTTATCCTTGATTAGATGTTTCATTTGGTTACTTTCAAGTGTATTTTTTTTATTTTATTTAACTGCAATATATTGTGGTTTCCTTTACATTTTAAGGATACAAGCTGTGTTTCACATAAACTCCTTAATCCCTGTACTCAGGATATAACACGTAGAACTAGTCACATGTCAACAAATATTTACTTAGCAACTTGTCTGTGTCAGGCATTGGTAGAAGCTAGAAAGATTAAGATAAAAAAGACAAGCTTAAGGAATGAACTAATAGTCCAGTTGGGAGGATAAGCTCAGTTTTGATGAAGAGCAATAAATAACATAGCAGAAGTATGAATAAGTACAGTGAGAACTTATCAGTTACAGTGCTTTTGGTTTCAAGTAATAGAAAACCTTGATTCCATCAACAAAAGCAAAAATCGGTAAGTGGGACTCCATCGAACTTAAACACTTTTCTGCAAAGCAGTAGAAACAACACAAAGAAAAGGCATTCTATAGAATGGAAGAAAATATTTGCAAACCATATACTGGATAAGCGGTAAATATCTGAAATATATAAAGAATTCAGAACTCATTAACAAAAATCAATACAGTTTTTTAAAATGG